GTAATCAATCATATTTTCGTTCATAAATTTGTCCCATACCAGACTAACACCTGTTTTCTTCACCTCCACCATAACCCAATCATTTTTTATTATTATTTCAATCCAGACATTATCACCGTCTTGCAATTTGAGCTCGTCATTTGATATATGTCCCTGCCAAAGATAATAACGCGTAGTTCGACAATCAGGTATGATCCCGGCGTCAAGCTCAGTACCCTTGGTCATGTTTTTAATGCTAATACGACAACCGTTTATGGCTGAAGAGCAAACGAAGGACAAAGTTAACCCTTTCAAATTACGACCATCACTTTGAGGCACAGTGAAATACACAATATCATCGTCATGGACATAGTCGAACCAATCAGGAATATCATTTCCACTGAGAAAAATGCCACCATATCCGCAAGAAGTCCATCCCTATACCATGTAGAGCCAAATTTCTATAAGAAATACATTCTTATGCATGCATGTGTACATTCTTATGCGTTGTATGTGATAGAAAGAGAAACATGTATGTGCGTGTGTGTGTGTGTGTGAGAGAGAGAGAGAGACCTGTAGGATGTTGTTCCTAAAACTGGCAGTGAGATTGGTGCAGCCTTCCATATGAATCCTTGTCATGGAGTTTAATGATTTATCCAAGCCTGGAACCTCAGTGAGTTTCAACGAATCACTTAGATACAATTCTCTCATATTCCACATTTTTGAAAATCTGGAATTGTTTCCAATTCTGGGCAGTCATTTGCTTTCAGAACATGCAAATTGGTTGGTAAATCTGGGATTGCACGAAGAAATTTGCATGCATTTACACACAAGACCTTGAGCTTTGAAAGACCAGCGAGACTTGGCAGGCTACGAAATTTATTGGCTTCAAGAAGCAGATCTTCTAAGGAAATTAGGCTACATAGATCCTTAGGGATTGCATCCTCAGTTAAACTGCAGCCTGCATCCAAAGTTGAGATAACTCTATTAGACCACCTCCAACTATGTTGGGGCTAAACTCAAATTTCCACCCTTCAAAATACAACTATTCATGTATTTTCATGACTCAAATTTTTTTTTCCTCCAACCTTGCAGACTCATAATTTAAGTCCGCAACTTTATTAAATTGTTTAAAAAT